GCATCCCAAGCCAGTTCTTAACCATCGCGCCACTCGGCCGGCCCAGTTTTCTTTTTTATAATAAATTTTATTCTAAAATCACAATAAATTTTGGAATTTCAGAATTGGCCATCCATTCTCATGGTTGAAGAGGAAAAGATGCAAAAGAGTAGCACAGTGGAAAGTCTGGCTCCCATCTGTCCATCAGCCACACGCTCCCTGCCCCCAATATTAGCCACGGCCGGGCAGGAGCGGGACTCTCATTATCCCTGATGTAGACATGAGGACACTGAGGCACAGAGAAGTTAAGCCTCTTGTTCCTGGTCGCTCAGTGATGGAGCCAGGGTTGAAACGCAGGCCATCTGGCCTTAAACCCACCCCCTGTACCGCTGTTCTTCACTTCTGTTCCCCACCTCAGAGTGGGTAGCCCCCCCCGTTTCTCAGGTGGGGAGACTGAGGTTTGGAGAGGCTGCTGCCTCGCCCAGGGTCGCAGAGCTAGGCTTTGTGCAACGCTTTCTATTGTTCAGTTCCAGAGGGGAGACAGGGGCCCCAGGTCGGGCTGCCTGGAGAGGCTGGGAGGGCAGCCTGTAGGGCTGCTAGAGACAAGGGCGGGGCCTCTTTAAGAATCCACGGCTCTTAGGGATAAAGGGATTCCTGGCCAGACTGGGGCCACGGGTTCCATTGTCCAAGTTTGCAAGGCTCCTGTCTGTCTAGGGGAGTGACCCAGGTGTCCCATTAATGCTATTGCTAGCAAGCTGCTTTTAAAAATATATTTGCTTAAGTAAGATAAAATGGCTTATCTAAAGAAAAATGGTAAGTGAGAAGTAGGAACTCATGACAGAGATTTTATCTGGAGGGGAAGTGAATGCGCTGGGGAGGGATGCACAAGAGGTCTAAATTTTAACAGTAATGCTTTATAGTTCTTTCTGAAAATAAAAACTAAAAAGTAACTAAGGCCTAATGTGAAGAGCTGACAAAGCTGGGGGATGGGCACACAGGAGTTCACCTGAGTATTTTCTGTTCTTATTCGTGTGCTTGATATACTTCTTTGTAGAATAAAGAAGGGGAAAAATGAAACTGTTAGCCAAATTGTGATGCAGGTGACATGCACATATGGCCAGAACTTAACATTAGTAGACAAAGGACGGAGGTTACAGATTCTAAATTAATATAAGATTCCTTTTCTGAACAGAACTCAGATCTAGAACAAGAAATATGCCCAGGTGACCTGTGCAGTGTGGGCAGAGAGCTTACTTGTAGTCAGTATTGTTCTCAGTGCTCACCTGCCCTTAAACCCGCCTTTGTTTTCCTGCCTGTGAAATGGGTGCGCCACTCTTTTTTTGTTTTTTAAGATTTTTATTGGGGAATTGGGGGGATGGGAACAGTGCTGGGGAATTGGGGGAAGGGGAACAGACAAGTTGCTGTCGTTTTGTTCTTCTTCAGTCTAGTTGTGGAGGACGTTGCTTCACTGGCCCAAGTTGGCACCATCATAGCCCTCTTCCCGGGTGAGGCAGATCAGTCGCCGGCTTCTGGACGGCCGCTCATGGCGGCTGCTGGCCATTCACACTGGCTGCTGGCTACACATGGTAGCCCATGGCAACCCACTGCCACAGGGGCTGCAGCCTACGCCGTCGCTGGCAACTCATGGCAGCCCAGCTCCAGGTTGAGCTGTTGTTCAGCATCTTAGCTGTGGAGGGCAGTGTCACTGGCCCTCATATGTGGGATCCGAACTGGGGCCCTCTGGCGTCCCAAGCCAGTTCTTAACCATCACACCACTCGGCCGGCCCAGGTGCGCCACTCTTAATACTGGGACTGTGACCCACACTCTGGGTGTGTAACACCTCATTGCACCCTCACAGCCCTTTGGTATTGGTGCCGTAATGAACCCCAGTAGTGAAGGAAACCAGACCTCAGGGAATAAGCGGCTGCCCGGGGTCACAGCTGGCAAGCCACCGAGCTCGGATTTGAGCCCAGGTGGTCTGGCTCCAGAGCCCAAGCTCTTTGCCATGACTTTTTACCGCTCCCTTGTCACCCAACCAGCAAGGACAGGAGGAAGAGAATGTTAGGTGAGGCGATGGGACAAAGGAGAGAAAGCAAATGGCTGGGGTGTCCAGAAATTAGCACCACCCGGGACTCAGGGGGCCACTCAGGGAGTCGTCTTCTCTCCGCAGGACAGTGGGGACAGCGGATACCCTAGTGAGAAGCGGGGTGAGCTTGATGACCCAGAGCCCCGAGAACACGTAAGGAACCCCTAGGAAGTGAGACCAGAGTTTTCTGTTTCCTCATCATCTGGGAGGATGGCAGGGTGGGGGAGGGGGGGTCAGGATGGAGTGGGTTGTGACAGCGTAACAAGTAAATTAATAAATAAGGTCATTTCAGATAAAGATGAATGCAGGGCAGAAGATAAAACAGGGTATTGGGGACCAGTAAGTTCAGTAAGGGGACAAGTGTGGGGGATTAGACGCAAGGCTGAATGAGACGCTGGGACCTCTGGTTGCTAAGCAGAGAGGATGCTGGGTAATAGGCTGAGTGGAGCTGGTACAGGTGGGAGGGCCCAGCTCAAAGGCATGGGATTCTGGCAGTCCTGGGAAGGGAGGATTCAAACCAGAGGGCAGGTTTCTGAGGCACATCCCAGGAGTGTCCTGGGGAGGGTGGCCTCAGGCAGTGTCACCCATTTAGAGGTTTAGTTGTGTGCTGGCGCCCACCTTGCTGGAAGCTGTCTGCTCTCAGCTTCGTTACTGCAGGTAAAGATGTGATTTTAGCTTTGGCTAGAGGAAGGATCGTGGCCCAGTTTTCTGGGATCCTGTGCCTTTGAGTCTGCTCCATCTGTGCACAAAGGGCGAGTGAGAGGAAGGCTGTGGCTGCACCAGCACGTCTGTCCTGCCTGTTACCCAGCATCCTCTCTGCTTGGCAGGCAGTGTTCTAGCTTCTCCTGGGGTGGCGGGTGGTCAGGCCTGTCCCCTAGGAGGAGGGTCCCCTGAAGGCCTGGTCCAGTTTCCCAGGAGGATGGGCTGCTGTTTGGATCACTCTATTCTTTGCCTCCATCAGGACCCCTCAAATGGTAACCGCAGGTACGAGTCGGATGAAGACAGCCTGGGCAGCTCCGGACGGGTAATGCTCCTCTTGAAGCCCTTGTCATGGCTCTGTTTCTGTCCCTCCCTCATGTCACTGCAGCCTGCCCGGGCACCTCACACATCTAAAGGAAGATTTTGCAAAGGAGCCCATCTCCCCTGGAGCAAATACTTTTTGAACGCCTGCCCTGGGCGGGACGCTGGGGGGCCTGGGGGGGAGGATTGGAGAGGACCAGGATAGCCCGTCCTGGCGCGGTGGTCAAGGCAGCCACAGCTCACGTGTGAAAGCCATGCCCGTGGGCATGCCTTGTGGTGTTCATTAATTTACTCCTTGCAACCACCTGAGAAAACGGGGAGGGCGGGGCTTCAGCAACTCTCCACAGGTTACCTGGCTAGTGTTTCTGACAGGATCTCAGGTGACCAGTATCGTCAGGCAGGTGTGGGGAAGAGCAACCCTCCCTCAGGAACGCTATGCTCTCCTCTAGCTGACTCTGAAACACACCTCTCAGCTTCCAGCCTTTGCTAAGGCAAGTCTGTCTCCCACCTGCGAGGGCCTTCCTCCTGCTCCAAGCCTGCCTGCTCTCCCCAACTGGACCTCAGGGCGCCTCCTCCAGGAGCCTTCCCTGATCACTGTGACTCCTCCCTCTAGGACACAGATTGCTCCCCAGGCAGTGTTGCTCCGTCAGGCCAAGGCCTCAGCATGGCGTGGGGCAGGGTTCCTTCCGGGCTGGGTCATTCTTTATTGTGGGGCTGCCCTGTGCATTGTGGGCTGTTCCGCGCACGCCCAGCTGCCTGGCCCGCTCCTGCGAGAACCTCTGGACAGGGTGCCTGTCTTTAGCTGGGAGACATTCCCAGGAGCAGCCGGTTGATGCCCAGAAGAAAGCAGATGATTTTGCTGCAAAGTCTGAAGTCAGACTCTTCCGGGGCTCTGTGTGGGGAGCTGGCCAGTGGGGGCTTAGGGTCCAGCCTCCCCAGGTTGGTAAACGAGGGGAAATGCTTCTTTGAACTGCCGAGCGCTCCGTTCTGCTGGCCTTTGTGTGTGTGTCCCGTTGCTGCCCCTCAGCCCATGAGCTGACAGAATTTGAGTGGCTAGAAATGGATTTTGCCCTGCTCATGCAAGGGCCCACTCCCCGCCTTGCCAGCCAGGCTCATGTGGTAGGAGCAGCTGACAGCTGGTGACAGCACCTCCGTCCCCAGCCCCCGGCTTCTCCGGCTCTCTCCCTTCAGGTCTGTGTGGAGAAGTGGAATCTCTTCAACTCCTCCCGTCTCCACTTGCCGAGGCCTTCGGCCGTGGCCCTGGAAATGCAAAGGCTTAATGCTCTGGACCTTGAAAAGAAAATCGGGAAGTCCATTTTGGGGAAGGTATCGGAGCTGCCCGCTTCAGAGCCCTCTCTGCACTAACCCAGAGCCCCCAGCTCTCGCCTCTCCGCTGATCGCTTCCTCCCACAGGCTGGCTGGGGGCCCTGGGGTTCGGCTTCGGCCCCCCACGCCGCGTGCTAACACCCAGGTCTGTGCGGCAGGTCCATCTGGCCATGGTGCGTTACCATGAGGGTGGGCGCTTCTGCGAGAAGGACAAGGACTGGGACCGCGAGTCGGCCGTCTTCCACCTGGAGCACGCGGCCGACCTGGGTGAGCTGGAAGCCATCGTGGGCCTGGGACTCATGTACTCGCAGCTGCCCCACCACATCCTGGCTGATGTCTCTGTGAAGGTGAGCGGGGGCTGGGACTCAGCCAGCGGGGCCGCCCCAAACCGCCATGCCCTCCATCCTGGAGGCTTATGCATGCCACAGAAATTTCCTGAGCGTCACTTTTGGGCCAGATACTTGTAAGTTGGTTGAAACTGGTAACATCTGTCTCGGCTCTTGGGACTGGCTGGAAGGGGACAGTCACATATTTCCAGGCAAGGCGACCTGGTGTGATGGGAGAAGCAGAAGTTACTGGTGGAAACCCATGAGGAAGGGCCCTGATTGGGGTTTCCAGGGGTCAGAGCAGGCTTTCTTCCTGATGGGCCTTGCGCACCCCTAGTGGCCAGAACAGAGCCCGGCACACAGTGGGCGAGACTAGATATGGGGGACAACTGGTGGCCCCTGCCCCCTTCTTAAAGCCTGAAGGTTGATAGGACCTGCTAGGCTCATGTGAGGAGTTTGCATTTGTCTCTGAGTAAGGTAGGAAGTCTTGGGGCAGCTTCGAGAGAATGACGTGAGCTGGCTTGGGCTGTAAAGGTGTGTCTCCCGCTGCTGTTGTGGGGTGGGGCTTGGGGGAGCAGAACGGAAGCTGGTGGGGTGCACAGCGGTGCAGCCACTGTGGGAAAGAGCGGGCAGCTCCTCCAAAGGCTAAAGGTGGAGCTACATGGGACCCAGCAGTTCCATTCCCAGGGATATCCCCACAAGAATAAAGACATCTACACAGAAACCTGTCCACAGAGGCTCACAGCCACATTATCCATAATAGCCAAAAAGTAGAAAGAACCCAATCGTCCATCAGGGATGACTGGTGAATGGATAAACAGAATGGGAAAAGTTCATACAATAGAACGGTGTCTGGCCCTTAAAAAAGAGTGAAGCACCCATCCATGCTGTGACATAAAGGAACCTTGAAAACGTGGCACTAAGTGAGAGAAGCCAGTCCCATATCATATGAGGACATTTATATAAAATGTCCAGAATAGGTCAGTGGTTTCCCAGGGTTTGGGGGGGATGGGGCGATGGGGAGGTGACAGTTCGGGGTACGGCGGTTTGGGTTCTTTTTGGCTTGCTGAAAATATTCTGAACTTGATTGTGCTGGTGGTTGTACATTCTGTGAATAGACTAAAAAGCAATTGAGTGGTTCGCTTTAAATGGGTGAATTGTGTAGTGTGCGAATTACAGCTCAGTAAAGCTGTTTAAAATGTTTAAAAGAATGGAAGCAGGGAATCCTGTCAGAGGCAGGAAGTGATGTGATGCACCTCTTTGGAGGAATCAGAACCAGACGGAAGGAAGAGAGGAGGGTGAGCCAAGCGCCCCTTTCTCCCTCCTCATGGGAACCCTCATCCTTGCCGCAGAATTCCAGCCCCGTTATCTTTCTCACCGTGTGCAGTTCTACAGCAGCCCCAGCCCAGAGCTCTCCAAACAATTCAATAAACAGGGAGAGGATTGACGAGCGAGACCCTGGCAGCCCTTCCAGTGCAAGCCTCACTCCCTTTTCCCTCCTGCTCTCTGGTTGGAATTGACAGGAGACAGAAGAAAATAAAACCAAAGGATTCGATTACTTACTGAAGGCGGCTGAAGCTGGCGACAGACAGTCCATGATCCTGGTAGCACGAGCTTTTGACATGGGCTTGAACCTCAGCCCGGACAGGTACTGTGGGCGTCACTTCGGTGGAGCTGGTGGGAACCTGAGCAGCAGGCGGGAGGGTCCCCTCCAGTGTCATCAGCACAGACCTGGGGTCCAGGCTCAGCTCCCCTGAGTTATTTTACTTCCCTGGCCTCAGTGTCTTCATTGTGTAAACTGAGAGCCATTGTAGAACGTGCATCCTACTCCTTGGTTCTCGGCCGTCCCCCGCTGTCCTCGGGAGCCTGTGGCTTTCTAGGAGGGGTCAGGATGGGCACATTCATGGCCTAAACCTCCAGGGCTGGAGCAGCCTGGCAGACCTCTCCTCTCTGGGTCAAGGTCTCTGTCACTGGGTTTAGAAGTAAAGTCAAGCCCGTGGCTCTACCATATCAAGCTCTCAGGGACTGAAGCATCTGGATACGTGACCTCCTGTCTGTATTACATATCGTGCAAAATTTTATCGGGTACCCGCTGTATGACGGTACCACTCCCTGATAGTGGGACCACACTGTCATGTCGGGGATTGTTTCACAGAGAGCAAGAATGCCAGGTCTTCTGCATGTCTGTGGTCCCAGTGCTTCCTGCAGCACCAACACATCTCTTTGACACAGACGGGGCAGGGACATTTGGCCCCATTCTACAGATGAAAAGCTGTCATTCTGAGAAGGGAAGGGACTTGCCCAAGGTCAAAGAGCTAGTCAGTGGCAGAGCCAAAACCTAGGTCTTCTCACTGCTCCTCCGGTGGACTATGTACTGGCCCGCCTCTCACTGGACTCAGAGCGGTGCTCGCCCGGAGGGGAGGGAAACAGACACGGGATCGTGCTGTCAGATCAAGTGCCGGCGTACATGGCGCCCAGGGAGTGCCTGGGTGGGGGTGCTGGAGCTGGCACTGAATAGCGGCACCTGTGGTCCTTAAAAAACCTTCACTTCATGTGTTTCCTCTTCGCGGTCTACTTTTTATTTGAGACACTAGTTTTTTGTTGTCAATTTGTAAGAATTTTTTATATATTAAGGCTGTTAACTCTTTGGCATATGAGTTGGCGTAAAATGTTTTTTTTCAGTGATAACTACCACAGATGGGAGGGGTGGGTAGGGGACGGCACACATGCCACTCAGTGACCAGTGGTTACTGGGTTTGGGGGCACACTGGTTTTTCTATATTTCGTAGTGAAATCTATCCGAGTTTTCTTTTAGAGCTGCTGCTCTAGTCACTGTGTTCTCCCGCCTCATTCCGAGCAGCACCAGCCTCTTGCATTCAGGGAGTGTTGCTGAAGGGCTGACTGTGGGTGAGGCAGGCCCCCCGTAGGCCCCAGTTTGCACTGAACTGGTGTCGTCCTCCTCAGAAGTGACCATCTACCAGGGGAAGGAAGAGTCATCGGCGATTCCAAGGCCGGGCGGGGGACACACTCCCACTCTGTGTGCAGTTGAGTGGGGCCCTCTCCCCAATTTCCCATTTAATATTTGGGGTGCAGCTGTGCTCCGCCCATTAAGACCTCAAGACCAGGGAGGGTCAGAGCTGAAAGGGCAAGGTCATCTAGCTGAGCGGCTCCCGGTCATGTGTTCAAACCCTAGTTTGTGGGGTGTGTCACGTGTCACTGATCATTTTTAGATGGTTTCTTTTTTTTTAATAAACTAACTTGGAGTCAAGATTAGCTCCTGACCTCCAGTGCAGCCAGCCCCTCATTTACATGTATTGGTCCCTGCCTTCCGGGTCTTCCGTTCCACTGCGCTAAACCATAATAAACAGAGAGGGGGGGGGGGAAGTAAACAGGACAATTACAGATCGAGGCAGTTGTGAGACATGGAGTGCTTGGGATGGCCGCTCTGATGAGGTGGCATTTAAGCTGGGGCTGGAAGGACAAGGAACCAGGTGTGGAAGGACTTGGTGAAAGACCGTTCCAAGCCGAGGGAGCAGCTGGCGCGGGGGCCACGGAGCAGACAGGAGCTGGCATGTTTGTCAACAGAAAGTCTGGCCTGGGAAGGGGAGGTGAGGGCACTGAGCAGGGCGGAGTCAGGTCAGGTCGGGCCTTGGAGGACAGGACAGCAAGTCATGACAGCTGTCGCTCCTGGCACAGTTCACCCGTAGACCTTCTTACCTGCCCTGGCTTTGCTCATTCCGGAAGTGCTATACGTAGTTATGCTGGGTAACGCACAGGACGCCCAAAGAGAAGGAGCCCGCTGCCCCGTTTGTACTGTGCATTGTTGAGATTTGCGTGGCACCTGGGTGTGCCCTGAGATGTTTGGCCGTTCACGTGCTGTCGCAGGAGAGAGTTGATGCCGGGGGGAAGGCTGGCATCATGCTGGAGGGGAGCCAGAGCTGGCTGGCACGGGCAAAGCATGAGATGGGGCATGAGACTGCTGTCAGCTCAGGTGGTCCTGGCGGCCTCGGCGAAGGGTTTCCCACCCACCTCCCCTGGTCCCCGAGTCACAGGGCAGATTGACCAGGATACCAGCCAGTGCTAATGCTGGCCATAGGGTGATTTTGTGCAAACTGGAAAAATGCCACCTCCCGCTTCAAGATGCTCTATTTCTGTTTGTTGAAAAATTGTTGTAATATACCAATTTTGTTAGGGAACGCTAACTGCTGGTGTCTCAATAACTGTATAAATCCCCAATGTGAATGACGCCCCTTGTGTGATGGCATTGGGTACTGTGGGGCCTGGGCCATAGGTGTGGCCCCGTTGGGGTCTCTGACTTGCCTGTCTTGCTGATGGGCCTCCTCCTTCCTGCCCCGTTGCCATGGTAACCTCCCTTTTTTCCTGTGTATCTCCTGGCAAGGTCCCAAGACTGGCCAGAGGCCCTGCACTGGTACAGCACCGCCCTGGAGACAACAGACTGTGATGAGGGCGGCGAGTACGACGGGATGCAAGGCGAGCCCCGGTATGCGCTGCTCGCCAGGGAGGCGGAGATGCTGTCCACAGGCGGCTGCGGGCTGAAGAAGGACCCGCAGAGATCAGGTGGGGCCAGGCGGACCTGTCCCTGCGGTGGGGCGGGGCTGGCCAGGGAGGGACACAGTTCCTGTCCCGCTGGGAATTATGGCAAGATGCAAAGCTGAGTCTCTTCTTTGGGTACTGGCGGGGGCCCTGTGTTCTGCTGGGCTGGATACCCACGTGGCGCTGGCTCGGGACAGGCTTCGAGGCGCGGGTGTGCAGACGAACGTTTTCATTTTAATGGCTCTATATCAAGGGGTTGGGGTTTATTTTCTGTTGTTGTTGTTGTTGTTTTTCAATTTAAAAAATTGAACTGACATTTTCATAACATAAAATTCACTGTTTTAAAGTGTACAGTTCAGTGGTGTTTGGTGTATTCACAATGCTGTGGAACCACCACCACTCTCTAATTCCAGAATATTCCCATCACACCAAACAGAAACCTGGTACCTGTTAGCAGTGACTTCCTATTTCCCTCTCCCTCCGTCCTGGTAACCACCAATCTACTTTCTGTCTCTGTGGATTTTACTCCTGGACATCGCCTGTACATGGAATCATATACTATGTGGCCTTTAGTGTCTGGTGTCTTTCTCTTAACAAAATACTTCCAAGGTTCCTCTATGTTGTACCAAGTCAGTACTTCATTCCTTTTTATTGCCAAATAACATTCCATTGTTTGGATATACCACATTTTGTTTATCCATCCATCAGCTGATACACACATAAGATATATTCTTTTCTGTTACGTAACAAACATATTGAACTAATGTCACAGGTACAGGATGATATAATATTTCTAAAAAGTTATTTTGTATGATTATATCAAAATTTTAAGCCAATAATGCAACTCTATAATCCCTTTTTTGAAATTTCTAAATCCAAAAAGCTCTGAAAACCAAGCATTTTTGTCCATGTCGCACAAATTCATTTGGTGGCCCGACCTGTCCAGAACTGACATGAGGCTGTTTAAAATCTTTATTTCTTCTACTTTTGTACAATCCCCAATTAGATTGCAAAAGTCCTCAGCCTGGTTCTCATTGGCTCAAATGGAATCACCCACTTACCCCTAAGCCAATCCCTGTGCTCATTGACACGGCTTACTCTGATTGGCTATGCCTATCCCTGCAGCCTGGTGAGAAATGGGGGAGGGTGCTTTGATTGGCCAGGCTTGGGTCACATGACCACCCAGAGCCCCGCCCAGGTCATGTGGAGGGAGAGAGGATAAGGAGTAGCTTGGGTGCTGCTTCCAGGGAGAAGGGGTGTGCGACACTGGGGTGGCAAAAACCATAGGTGGTTCAGCTGTGTGTGCCCCACTTTGGTGTCTTTCAGGCGACTTGTACACCCAGGCAGCCGAGGCAGCGACGGAAGCCATGAAGGGCCGGCTGGCCAACAAGTACTACCAGAAGGCCGAGGAGGCCTGGGCCCAGATGGAAGAGTAGCTTGCTGGAGAATCACTGCCGGCCAGTCCCAAGCAAAAGGGCTAGAGGGGGGCAAAAAGACTTACTGACTTATTTAGGGGGTTTTTTTTGGTGGGGGTGGGGGGAGAGGGAAGTATTTTTTAGTGTGTTGTAAATCAACTTCTGTACATCATTTTTCGACTTTTGAAAATGTCTGTGCTACCAGCAGAGACACCATAGCTGTCCCCCGAGGGCAGAATTTGGGGGGAGTGGGGATTGAAAATGCAGTCTAATGAACCAGCATTGCGTTCTGAGATTCTGTTGTGATTGTTTTGTTTTGTCATGAGGTGTAAAGACAGTGCTTTCCTGCCTTGGCTGGAAAATATTAGGGCTTTTGCCCAGCAGCCTTTTCAGGCTGGAATTGAAACCTCAGGCCTGCAGAGCCCAGTGTTTCCTGAGTTGGGTGGGGAATGTACAGCTGCACATGAACCTCCCACGGGGATGTGTTGTCATGACTTCCTTCCAGAGCCCCTAGAAGCATGCATGGCATTGGCCGTGCATGTGAGATGGTACAGTAGTACCCAGGCCCCCTTCTGCCAGGAGGGAGGGCCCCGCACACCGACTGTTTTTCTCCTTTTACTTTAATTTCCTTCCTGAAATACAACGGACTTCCCAGAATACAGCCAAATTCCACTTGCAGGCATGCTTTCTGTACTGGGCTTTGCAAAACAGGTTTGGTTTTTGTGTACACACATGGACTACCTCTGTGCCCTCCGTCAGCTGGCGTGGACGTGGATGCGAGTGTGCCTCGAGACTGACATGCAAGGACAGTGGCTGGGCACGTGCAAGCCCGTCCTCCCAGTGGACATGTACTGTGCATCCCAGTGGCAGCATCCACACTGTGACTGAAGTACCCCATGTCACGGTTTCTCCCCGTTTTCTTTGCATCAGATGTTCTTTTGTAGTGTCTGCTCCCCAACTCTCATCCTTGGCATTTTCTGCTTGAAGCGAGGCTGATTTTCTCGTAATTTGCAGCAGCCCCTTGAGATTTATTTAAGATGTTTTGAAAATGAGAGGACAGGAACTATAAACACTCATTAATTCTAGTGGTTTCTCCAGAGCCAGGCAATGGCTAACTGACTATCATGAGCGTTCCCTTTAAAAGGAATTCAGAATTAGTATCAGCATGATTTCAGCTGGGGTTTCACGTAGCAAAGAAAATAGACTGCTTTGCTCAGTCCCAAGCAATTAAGCAGCCTGTCTTTCTCTGTTTAAGAAATGAAAACATAAAGCAAAGTGTGATGATATACACACCGTTCTTATCTGCTTGCTAAAATGTTAGTGTTAAGTGCTGTGGCCTCTTGAACCTGTGCGAGCATTAAGTTCCCAAGTTTAGAGTGCGCCCTTGAGGAAAACTCTGGCTGAGTGAAAAGGACCCTTGAAAAAACCCCTGCGAATGCCTATAAATTACAGCATCCCTCCTTTTTAATGTGCACTCATCACAATTTCCTCCAGAAGTGGGAGCTGATCAGTCTTCTTCCACTTGCCCCAGATCAAGTAGTAGTTTTTTGTTTGTGTGTTTTGAACTAGTGCGTATAGTAGTTAAATTGCTGTGTTCAATGTAAGTCAGAAACAGCTTTATCGGGACTTGCCTCTGCAAAGTAATCAAGCCTCATAGAACTCATCCTTTTTGTCGCCGTTCTCACTTCAGCCAGCCGCCTCTCTCTGAGACTTTATTATGCCAATAATTTACGTTCCCTGACCACTGATCTCATTTCTTCCTTTTGTGTCAGTGCTTCTCTCTAACACAGGGATCGGCAGACTTTTTTGTAAAGGGCCAGACAGTAAATGTTGTCGGCTGTGCTGGCCATATGGGCTTTGCCACTGCCAGGCCTTATGTTGTCACATCAGCGTGACTGGTGTTCCAGTAAAACTCGATTTCAAAAGCAGGTGGCTTGCCTGGGCTCTAGTGTTCCGACCCTGGCCTAATCCTCAACTGAGCGCCACTGTATCAGCTTGGAGCAAGAGCTCTCTCAAGTTTCCGGCCTCCAGGGCTCACACACAATGCTTGGCACAGAGCAGGCGCTCAGTAAATGTGGAGACAAAGGGAGAGTCAGCCCCAGTGCCCGCACTCGCTGTTTGCAGCTCTGGCCCCTCTAGCCAGCGAATGATTCCTTGTCTGAATTGGCTTGAACCAGCCCCCCTGCAGTTGCTGTCACCCAGCCACCCACATGGCCTTATGTCAGCAGGAGGCTGGGAGGGCCTGGAAGTATTAGTATGTAGGTAAGCAAATGCTTCCTGAATGACCACCGAGAGTAAAACCATCTGCAGGCTTTTGAGAAGAACTGACTCCACCTTCAAAATCTAGTTTCGTGCCTTCGAAAGCTGGTGAGGGCCTCTTTGTCCACAAATGGCTGAACAAGCCAGGACATTCCAGCCCAACTGGGAAGACATCTCAGAGACTATTGTCATGTGCAAGAGGCAGGGGACAGTCCGGGAGATAAGCAGACCTGGGGCCTGGGACCTGGGACCTGCAGTCACAGGGTGGAGAAACCGCAGTTCTGGATGAACCAGCTAGCAGCCAAGCGGGAGCTTGGCTCCCAGAGCTGTGCTTATCCAGCTGTTCTCATTCCAACGGGACTGTAATGACCCTGTCGGTTTTGCTCTAGGTTAAAAGAAGAAGGCGGCTTTATGGATAGCTAAAGGAAAGAAATTCCAAACCCCAACATGTCTGAACCCTCCCCTTCTTCCGCCTCACCCAAGGCACTCTGGGAATTGAGCATCCAGCCAAACTACCCTTGTTGCTCTTTAGCGACTGTACTTCCCTTCGTCCCCACACATTCGTCTGCAGTACTGGACACGTTGTACCGATGCACAAATGTTTACACAAGCATGTGCAGCTAGTGTGGGGGAAAGGAGACGACACGTGCATTTTCTCTGCATGGATTTCTGTCCGTCACTTGTGCTTCTGGTCTTTGGGGGAACCATTTAACCGAGACCAGGTGGACATCGGGTGGGACCCAGAGAACTGGCTTGCGTTACCGATTTACCTTTGCATATGTTCTATTTCGTGTTTCCAAATAAAGTGGTTTCTTTCTTTCCGGTCTCAAATTCAAATGTCTCCTGGTAGCATATGAGTGGAGTTGCCAGGTGGAGGCAGAGGTGCACTGGAGGGTCCCATCTGGAAGAGGCAACTGTGATTTACCTCCACGGTGGGGAGCAGCGTGGCCCCATTTTCTGATTTTTCAAGAACTGCTGAAAATTGGGTTTTGTGATGCAAGGTCGTCATGATTTTTAACATTTCTCATCAGTTCCGAGTTTTTCAAAGCCCTTCCAGATGTGGCCCGGATGCTGTCCCGCTGCTTTGGTAGGTGAAACCTCTTTTTTTCTTGATGTTTCTCAGCGATAGACCAGAAGAAATAATCTTTACCTTTACAGAGTTGTCTTTAGTTCCAAAGAAGATAACACATGTTAAAGATGCCTTGTGACCCAGAGCTTAAGAACACCTTGGCTATTGGTTTCAAGCTAGTGGTGGTTTTCATTTTAAGTAACTTGACTGTTTGCATAGCTGTGAGGGTAGATGGAGCGCACATATTTAGGTCCATGCTCCTCAGTCCTCTCGGAAGTGACGAGAAAGAGATTGTCTTAATGGCATAAGCCCAAGAGGATGAGGAGGAAGAGGTGACGACAGCAACACAATTTTGGATGCTGGAAAGTGAGTGGGCTGTAATTGAAGTAGCGGACCCAAGAAGGCTGGATCCTAGGGGAGCGGTGGGGGAATCTGAGCAAGAACCTCCGAAAGGCTGAGGCACCTCTGGAAGGGGGAATGAAATGGGGCTAGAACTGTAGGGGTCAATTGGAAAGACTTCAAGCATCAAATTGCTAGACAAGCTCACCTCCCCTGTGGAGCCACCCAGCTGCCTGTGTCACTCGGCAGAAGCTGGGACACCAGGCACAGTAGAAAGAGGCTACTAGACTGAAAGGAGGGTGAAGCAGAAGTTTGGAGAAATCTCTAGGGAATCTGACCAGCCTCAGGTAAAAGACATAAAGTGCCCCCACCAGTGAAACAGGCTGGCCGGAGCACCTCCACAGGAAAGGCCCCAGCCAGCAAGCTCCACCCACACCTGCAGACACCTTACGAGAAGCCTGTTATTAAACTTGAACAGCCAGCCAATTATGTGTACGTCAGAAAAGCATTTCATACGAAAGACATCAAAGCCAACCATCAGAAGAAAACTTAAAAAAAATTATCTTTCATGTCTTTAGATAAGATCTGTCCCGTCTATGAAAAGAACAAGATGGGGTGTTAAAAATACACGCAACGGAAGAATTCTTATAAATTGTGCACTTAGAAAAATGAGTAACAACAGAAAGCCTGGAAAATAAAGTTGAGGGACTCTCCCAGGAAGTGGAATAATAACAAAAAAAAAAAACAAGATCAAAATAGAAAAAAATTCTAGGAATCGGAAGAACAGGCAAACTGGCCTGCACTACTTCCTCAGTGCGACGGTTACAATTGTTATCTTCTTGCTTTGTGGAGAAATTAGCTAAGGACAGCCTAAGATAATCTGTAGCTTTTTATTATTATTTTTTAACCTGTAGCTTTTTATTGATCTCTCCTTGGCCTCCTGAGATTTGGGACCAGAATTCTGAGATCTTAATTTCATAGTCAAAATTTTCATAGGCCTTTTAATATGAATTGAATTTGCATAGAGGTATAAATATATCATTTTTACTAAATTATATTTACCACATGTTGATTTAAATGTAAATAAATGTAATACAGTCCTACCAGTATACAGATCTTTTTTTAGCGATAAGCAAATACTTTTACTGTAATACAATTAGGGTTCTGAAAAGGCTTGGTGTCTTTCTTTCTACCTTACATATTTATCAGTATTTAAGATCACCAAAAAGAACTCACAAGTCCGGTTAGGACTGGTTTTGTTTTTTTCCCTTTACGAACCATTTGAGGTATCCACTTGTTTTTCTTTCTACATGCAGTACTTAATGTTTCTTTCTGACTCTGTGCATGATTTTCATTTTCCCAATTATGAACTAAATTCCAGAGAATTAGTGCCCTTAATATTAAGTGGTATCTGTTGGGGGGGGAGGGGGAAGTATAATAGTCTTAGTTAAAACAAAAGGAAGTTGTTCTTTTAATAAAAGGCTAGGAACCTAACTTAGAAGTTTGAGAAAGGACAGGGAAAACAGAGGGCAGGGAATCTTTAAAAAAAAAATTCAAGAACATTTCTCAGAACCGAAGGATGTGTGTTTCCAGAACAACAGGGCTCCTCAAGTAAGTACCTAGTACAGTACATAAAATTAGACCTATGCCAAGATTCATCTTCATGAAATTTCAGAGCATTGAGGACTGGGAAAAGATCCTGGAAGCTTCCAGGGGGAAAGAACCAGTTTCATAAACAGGGTGGAGAAGCAGCGTGACATCAGACTTCTCACCAGTAACCCTGGAAGTTGGAAGATGATGCCATCTAAATTCTGGAGAAAGTGTCCTTTAACCTGAAACCATATGCCCAAACCATAGAATAAAGATGTCTGCAAGGGCCGGCCGAGTGGCTCAGTTCGTTAAGACCTCGCTCAAGAGTGCAAGCTCTGAGCAATAGTGGTTCGAGTCCCGGCCTGAGCTGAGCTGCCAACAGGTGGCAGGATGGCTCAGCTAAAAAAAAAAAAAAAATGTATTCGACATGTTAAGTTCTCAAAAATAATCTCCCAGGTACTCATTCTCCAGAAGATACTGGAGGATTTGCTCTATCCAAAGTGGGGGGACTAATAAATGTTTGGCAGCCAGAAGAGGGAGGCCAAGTCAGTTCCCTGGATGAAGGGGAAGGGTGACCCCAAGTTGCCCTGAACCTCGAGCTGACTGCCCCTGCCAGGAGGCCTTGCGAGAAGTGTCTTCAAGAAGCTGAAGCGATAACTACCTCCTGCGCTTGTGTGTCCACTGTTTGAAGTTGAATTAGGGATGAATTCATAGAAACTGGGTGAGTTTTTTTTTTTCAGAAGGCAATTATGAACTATAAAAGTAAACTATATTTTTCAGAAAAGGAAGAAAGATTATAGTTGTGTGTACAGTTCATCTCAAGCTTAGCGAACAGCATTTACTAATTGCTCAAATGAAATTACAGTATGACTGTTAGGAGAGTTGGGGGAATGGGAGTGTTTGTGATGGTGGAGGTGGGGTGGGTAGAATTAAATTCTTATCCTCATTAGTAGGAAGGCAGGAGGGAATGCCTAAAGCTGATAGGGGGAAAAAAGCAGCAATGTAAGCCTGTTGTTTAGACATACGGAGATAAATACCAGAAGAATCTGCTAAAAGTAGGAAGTGGTTGCCTGGGGCGGAAGGGGCAGACATTCTGCTAATTTTGATAACATGCCTTACAGAATTAATACTGTACACATGTACAACTTTGATACAGTTATCAAATTAAAGAATTTAAAATATTTACTAAGTCAAAAATACTAAATATGCTAAGTTAAAAATTCATTATAGTCATGAATATATTGAGCATCTGCGGTTTTATTGAATCTGAGACACCCTTGATCTTAAGATGCACCATTATTTGATGAATTAATAAAAAAAACCACTGAAAATAAACTATATGCCATTGACCATAAGATGTAGGTTAATTTTCAAGATACTAAAATGTGAAAAAATATGTGTCTTAGGAACAATGATATATGGTATGTCAGACATCGGGCTGGGCATATACAGTTATCTCTGACCCAGCAACAAACCTTAACGTTGTGACCATTTCACAGATGAGAAAAATGAGGTTTAAAAGGGGTCATATAAGGAAAGCATTTGCCAAGAATGTTTTGATTCATCAAGAAGGAAAGTTGGAGGTTCAAAGAGCAGATGTCCTCAGAGTTCCAACATAAACAGTGCCAACTGATGCGTTATTCCCATGACCTACCAGCATCTTCCCAGGACACCAGAAGTGTTTGCAAGGCTGAAACTCAAAGGCATTGATGGAAGAGTGCCACTGGTCACAGAGCCTGCAGCCTGATCTGACTCAACACAGGAAATCTCATTCAGGTCTGTCAGATGGAGAGCTTTGAGTGGACGAGGTATAAGGTGACCACGTGTCCCAGTTTACCAGGGAGCTCTAATTCATGCCCGTGAATTAAACATTTGTTTCAGGAAAAAAGTGCGGTGGCCTCCCTGCTAAGGATGTGTGTGCTCTGCACACAACTAAAGTGCGTTTCCTCTGCAGGGACAAAGTTCCTTTGGGGGAGGCCTAGGTGATCTTATCGGTTCCTCGGTTGCAGGTAACAGAAATCAAAGCTGGCTAGTTTGAGCAAAAAAGCAATTTGTGGGGAGGAAGTCATCTACAGAATGGAAGGCAGAACTACAAGAACCAGACCTCAGAAAGGGAGGTGCCAGGGCAAGTATGGAGGAGATCTAGGAAGCAGAAGGTGACAGAGCATGCTAAAGGGAAAGACAAGCATGTTCCATTGAAGTTCACCATGCTCTTGCCTGACAAAGGTCAGTCAACTGGGTGGGTACAGAACGTGCTCCCGAGTACAAATCTCAGTGCCATTCATTTCATCAGAAAAACGCTTAAGCATTCTCACAGGAATGTTCATTTCTTTCTAGGAAATTCATGTGGCAAGGTTTGGTCTCAACCCACGTTTGGGATGATTTTCCTTTGACAGGTGCCAGAGAGTAAAGCGTGGAGGGGCTCCAGGACCGAGCCTCCTTGCCCACCCTCACTGACCACTGCTAAGGGCTTATGATATAGAGACAGACAGACCCCCTTCATCTGACAGCCCCTAGATTGGCAGTGGGGGACAAGTGGGCAGTGTTTGATCTGTGGTGCTAGCCTTTCTCCCCTCCACCTGCCCCATGAGTCAGGGGCAGGGACGTAAACACACCAAGGGATCCTTCAGGGTTCAGCCCTTCCCTCTCTGTGGGTCCAAGGAGCTCTGATGCAACGTTCTCCTTCAATCTCACCTCTGATTGTCACCAGACAGCTGTGTAATGGGACTGTGAGTCCGTTAAGTACCCCATTCGGTATGTACTTGTAGGGACAGACTTGAATGGCTCTAGCATGTTCTGGCAAAAATGTCTCTAGCACCATTTGATTCCTTACCATGCAAAGGCAGGGATATCGGTTACGACTGACAGCTACCAGGTGGCACTAGCTTTAGCAGAACAGGGATTTATTACAATGATAAAGAGATGTCTCCAAGAATCCCACTGGGTCCTGGGAAGGGTATTGAGCTGGAAGCCAGGAAATCCGGATATTTCTATGACTCTGCTCTTTTCATTTGATCTTTTTCCATGCACTGGTTTTCTCCCCTCCAGTCCATCTCACAGACGTGGCCGCCCCACGTACCCCTTTCTCCCTAGTCCCAGTAAGTCTCAGAGACTAACTCCAACACTTAAAACAGTCAGGGGAACCAATCAGGAACTCACCCAGTCCCAGTTCAGATGCTCAACCTGAGTTGTCTCTTCCCACAAAGCTCACTGGCTGCGGTGTGGGGACAGGGATGCACAGCACGAAGGGGGCTGCCAGGGACCCACTCTCTGAGCTGATCAGGCAATTCCTAGAAAAGTGGCGTTATGCAGAGATCCCAACAATTATGCTTCACCATGGGGACATTTCCTTTTGGGAAACCCAGCACACAACTCACAAATACAGCACTTCCTGGTACTACAGTCCCATGACTGGATCAACGCTTCTATTGATCTCAAGGGCGACTCCTCCTTTAGCTTCAAACCCCCCACAATGCCCAGCCTGTATCCCCAATAGACGGCTGCTTCTGTATTTTTTAAAAAAATTCCTTTAAAAGCAACAGACTACCTGCCCAGCCTGTATCCCCAATAGACGGCTGCTTCTGTATTTTTTTAAAAATTTCTTTAAAAGCAACAGACTTCCTTGTAGATCAATGAAACCTTTGCATAGCAACACTTAGGTTAAAAGTAAATGGAGAAATAAAACCAGGTAAAAGTGGAACTGAAGAGAAGGAGAAATATGGACTGCCCAAATGTTAACTTGGTTGCCAACTGGATATTAACCAGAAACTTGAATATATCAACTTCATATAAACAAACGCCCATATTCATAGTGTCAAATAAATTAGATCTATATGTGTCATAAAAGACATCAAAAACATAATGTTGGAGTAGAAAAAGTTGAAGAATGATATTGTTACATAGTAGTAATGTTTATGGAAATGAAAAACATAATAGAAGACCATACTATACATTTTTCATGGGTATATGTATAAAACACACACACACACACACACCACAAATATTTATATAGACATGGAAATTGTAAGAAATGGATTGGAAGGGTACACATCAAATTCATGACAACAGTTACAACGGGCAGAATGTTTAGGAGGGGGATTTTTATTTTTTATTTTTATTAATTTTTATTTCTAATGGTCTAATATAATTTTTAATGGAATTTTAAAAGGACAACATATTCATACCATTCCCTATGTAACTTTTAATAAAAAGTATACACATAGGAAAAGAATTGGAAATGAAATGCCAATAATATTAAGTCGTGGGAATATGGATGCTTATTTTTTTCCTTCGTGCTTTTTCTGTGTTTTAAAATACCTATACACATCAACATGGCTAGATGTTTCACAAACACAGTTGGTGAAAAAAGTCAACTGCAGATCCATACTGATAGTATGATAATATTTATGTAAAAACCCATACTCAATAAAAACAAAACATCTATTTTCTACGGAGACATATATCCGTATGAATATATCCGTATAAACTCACAGCAAAAAATACAAAGGATATAACTAAGCTGATAATAAATGGTTACATCTGCGGAGGGGCCTTAGGATGGGAGTCAAAGATTTTATTATTTTGCACTAGTTCCCGTATTATTTGTGCCCAGACCAGCTCCCGTGGGTTGGCCTTCGAAGCTCCTGGCGCGGGTTACAGCCGGAATCCATCATTTCTGCCTGCGATTCCTAACCCGAGTCGTGTGGGTTAACCTAAGATCTCCTGGTTAAACGTCCGACTCAATACAGGTTCTTAAACTGCTTTTCGCTTTAAAACCTATTTGGGACAAGTCTGGGTCTAAATGTCGGAGCAAAGATTTTCTTCTAACGACATGGCGTAATTAAATGCTTTCATCGCGAATAAAACGCGTGTTAAACTGGTAAAATGGTATTGGCATTGCAATCACTCCGAAGGATATTAAATAACTCTCTGGAAAAGAAAAGGAACGCACAGGTAGCGTGGCCGAGCGGTCTAAGGCGCTGGATTAAGGCTCCAGTCTCTTCGGGGGCGTGGGTTCGAATCCCACCGCTGCCAGGGTTCGCTTTTTGTCCCTACGGCCTTCACGCCACGTTGTTTTCGGCTCCGTTTTGCAGGCGCAGCAGCGCCCCCTGCTGCCAGTGGATCTAGCGGCCGGCGTGAATGGAGCGACGCAGGGGGCGGGCCCGCGCGGCGCCGGGGCGGGGCATTGTGGGTAAAAGGAAGCGTGAGGCCGGGCCGTGCTCCCCCCACGTGTCCGCTGGAGTTTCTCCGCTGGCAACATGGCCGCTGCCTGAGCAGAGAACCGGGCCGCCGCCGCCTCTGCAGCCCGCGGGGACCTGGGCCGTTGCCGCCGCCCGCCCGCGGCCGCCGCGGAGAGGTGAGTTCGCGGTGGCCGCGCTCGCCGGGATTGAGCCGGGCCGCACTCGCGAGGCGGCCCGCGGCTGTGCTGCCGAGTAGGCCGGGAGGCCCGCGCCATGCCCAGGGGCTGGGGCCGCCCGGGACTCGGGCGGGAGGGACGGGCAGCCTGACCCAGTAGACCCGGGCCGGTCGGGCACTCCACTTCGGCCCGGGAGTCCCGGAGGCCGCGGCCGCGGCTGCGGGCGGTGACTCAGGGTCCAGCCGCCTTCCCCCGCCCGGGTCGGGCGGGCCTCCTCCGGGAACACCTGTCCTGAGGAGGCCCGTGTCCGGCCGGCGTGGCGGCTGGTGGCTGCGTGGGGGGTGTGAGGAGGGGTCCTGACCACCGCAAGGAAGGTGTAGCCCGCTGGACAGCGCCGGGCCGGGGGCGGATACCAGCCTGCGGTCGTCGCAGCTGATCCAGATCAGCTCGGCCCGGCGTTCCGCGTTCACTGCTCTGGCCGCCGCCGCTCGGCGTTCATTCCTGACCGATCAGCCGGGGCGGTGTCAGCGAGCTGGTCGGCTAACCCGGTAAACACAGACCGTGGTTCTGTCCGTTGGCTCTGGAGTCGTCGGGTTTGGGGCCAAACGCAGAGGTCTGAGCAGTCGCTCCACCTTCTTCACCTGTGAAATAGGCTCACACTTTGCTCCCTCCCTGGAGTGTGGCCCAGGCTGAGACGGGGGAGCCCCCAGTCTGCAGCGTGGGAGGTGCGGCTGGGTCCCAGACCCTCGTACGTGGGAAGAAAACAAGTTGCCTATTGGTAACAGACCCCCTCCCAGGTTACACCGATTACAGCGTTTAACTCTCACTACCGCGGCCTGGGGGGCGGGGCTTGTCACCGTTTGGAGGATGAAAAGTGTGAAAGCGCTGAGGCCAAACAGCCCTGGTGGGCCACGGGCGGTGAGCAGCAGACGTGGGGCTTGAACCTGTGCAGTCCTGCTTGGGAGTCTAAGCTCTTACCCATCACGCCATGCTCGCTTCTGTTGAAGAGGGGGTGCAGCACAGCAGTTAGGAATGAGAATAAGGATCTTTGCCATCAGCTAGACCCGGGGATCCGCGCTGGTTCCACCGTTCTCCAGTGTTGTGACCTTGGCAAGCTGCTTACGCTCCGAGCCCCCCGTTTCCTCCCTTCTTGATTGCAAATCTTGACTTAGAGGGCTATTGGGAAGATTCCATGAGAATGTATGCCAAGTCCTCGTTAGAGAAGGTTCTCATGCTGTTTTAGGCTTAATTATTGTAGTTCTTGTACCCGAGGCCAGCTCTGCCTTAACAGAGGTGGAGACAGGTGATGCAGAGAGGGGAGATGCCTTGTTCAGGGGGTCTAGAGCGAATTAGAAGCCAGGCCCTGAGACTCTTTCTGCTGGGGCTCTGTCCCCCAAGTCCTTTGTGTTTTGTCCTCTCAGACCTCTCCCTCACTAGCTGGAGGGCTTTTGGAGTTGCCTCTGCTTTCTGATTGGCTGACAGGTTACATTCCTGGGTGCAGCACAGATGCACCCCTTTGTGGCTTGCAGGTACCTCCTCTGCTCTGGACCCCCTCTTAGCTCCATCTGGTGTCCTTGTCCCCTTTCCATTTGTTGAACAGCTCTCTGTTGAGGGAAGTGTCTTGTGCCCAAGGCCACAGAGCCTCTGCCACAGAGTCCCCTTATGGCCACAGGACACCCTGTGGAGGCCCAGGTGGTCCCTGCTGTCGGGGGAGCTTGGCTTGTGGCTGGGTGGCCACAGTCCCTGTCTGTTCTCAAGTGTCCTCGTAGCTGCCCCTCTCTGGTTGGGGCTGAGTTAGGCCCCCTGGGTTGAGGTTTTGTGACTGCCTGGTCCCACCCATTCATTCACTCAGTCTTTGTACTGTACTGAGCGTCCTTCATGCCAAACACTGTTCTATTAATAGCTGTTGGAAGAACAGCATGAATTTAAAGAGAGAATAACCCCCTAACAACTTGAAGTGAGTGTAACTATCCCCGCTTTCTGGTTGAAGCACGGAGAGGCCCTCCTGGAGCCTACATTCTAGTGCAGAAGACAGACACATAAGCAAATAGACGAGGTAGCTCCAATTGTGAGAAGAACCACGAAGGAAACAGAGCAGGGAGATGTGGTGGTGACTGGGTAGGGGTTTGGGGTGCAGGTGCTTTAAGATGGGGTGGTCAGGGAACCTGTGTCCTGTGTGTGTGTGTGTGTGGGGGGGTGTTGGGGGGTAGTGGTGATAGCTCATGAAAAGGAGCCAGCCTAAAAAACCTGGGGAGCATAGATGATGTGCAAAGGCCCTGAGGCAGGCTGGGCCTGCAGGCCCAGCAGGTGGCCCACCTGGCTAGGTGGGTGATGAGGAAGAGGCAGGGGCAAGGTCACGTGGGGCCTGGGGCCATGGGAGGGAGTTTGGATTTTATTCTGTGTGACAGCTGAAGGGTTTTGAGCAGGGGATGGTATGATTTACTTTTTTACTAGGGCAACTCTGGCTGTTTCTAGAAGGATTGGCGGTAGGAAGGAGTCCACAGGAGGACTTGCCGGAACAGTGCTTTTCAAATTGCAGGTGAAGCTTTATTAGTGGGGTGTGAAATCAGCTTTAGGGGGACATTAACCAGCATTTTTCATTTCCATGAGCGAGGGTAGAAAACACCATGCATCTCTTAGAGTAGGGCAGTTATGGCTGAGAGACCTGGTCGCAGGCACAAAATTGTATGTTCTGGGTCGTTTATATGAAGTGGGTTTCTTACTGGGGGTCTTAGGCTGGAAACTTGGAAAGCCACTGAGTTGGGGGATGCTGGGTGAGAGGGTGAAGGTTGTGATCACCCCTGCACTGGCCCAGTCAGGTGTCCTGTCGGGGGAGGGGCTCCAGCTCAAGGGTAGCTCATCCACCCTGGCCAGGGACAGGCCACCAGAGCCAGTGGCCCGGAAAGCCTGGGATTGGGAACCTCCCGGCCACACCCTGACAGCACACTTACTCTGTTCCCTTCTCTGGAAAGTCCCCAAGCTCAGCTGCCCACCCAGCCAGCCGCAGAGAAGGTAGGTGCTTGGCACCCAGCTGTAGGACTTGGCAGCCAGTGCAGGTGGGCGGGGGTCTCGGGCTCGCCCATCCATCGCCCCCTGGGCCTTAGATGGCACCTGACGCTGTCAGTTTGGGGCTTCTGGGTTTCACCCAGTCCTCCATCTCCTAACCCTCACCGTGGCCCACTTCTCTCTCAGCTGGCTTTTTACTCTCCCCGCTTCAGAGGGTAGGGTAGGCCAGGCCTGTGGGTGGTGAGGCCTGCGAGGTGGAGGCAGGGCAGGGAGGGGCTGTTTCGGGCCTCTCCTGGGATGGTAAAGACTGGCCTTATTTTGAGTGGGATGGGAGGCCTTTGCTGACTTGGCTTTCAAAAGTCTCACTGGCTTTGGGGTTGAGCAAAGAGCGCATGGGCGGGCGGGGGGTGGGGGAAGCAGGGGGACCGGTTCGGACAGAGGCTGTGGCTGTGACAGGCCGGCGATGAGCTGGTGGCACTGGGGAGGCAGCCATGGGAGTGGCCAGGTCCCAGACATCCTCTGAAGGTAGAGCTGACAGGATTTGCTGGGGGCGGGATGAGGAAGAGAAGCACCAAGGATGCGGATGCCAGCGTTTTGGCCTGAGCAGTTGCAAAGTTTGGAATGTGTGTCTGGAACCCATGAGATGATGTCACACGGTGGCTGGGGCAGGGGGCTTAGATGACACTGAATCCCATGGTGACGGTATTATGCCCATTTACATATTAAATAGTTCAGGTGTTATGTAGGCAAGAAAAAAATCATGCTGGACTTACCTAAAGGTAGAGGTCTTAGGGACCCCTGAGATCTGAGGGTGCCCAGGTGCCTTGCTAACTGACCATCCCCTCCTTTTGGGCATAGGAGGGTCAGCCCAGCTGAATGTCACCCTCCGTTGTGGAGGAGAGCTGCAGCCTCCTCCACTTCTGGGTCCTGGAGGTGTGTCCTGGGGGTGCACCCGCTGCCTAGAACCTGCTCCCAAGGCTGGGCCTAAGGCCCCGCCCACAGGAAGGCCCCTCCTCCCCCTCTGAACGTCCCTGCTTGCAGCCGCATGTCCCACAGCCTGGCTCTGAAGCCCAGTGGGTCCTCTTGCTTGTTGTGTGGCTTTGGGTAAGACACATAGTGTCTCTGAATTCCAGTCTCATTATAAAATGGGGACCGTGATGCCACCTCCCTGGGTGGTTATGTTGACTACTTTAGAGAAAAGTATGGAAGAGGGTCATTTATAGACACACACAGACAGAAACACCACAGAGCGGGGACAGCCATCACACTTCGGGTTGGGCCTAAAGTCAGCCTGAAAATCAGATATCGGAGACAGGCCCCTTGGGCCTGTGCTGTTTCTGTCTGACAGCTCTCTTATTTTTAAATGTGTTTTTATTTTTCAGTTACAGTTGACATAGGAGTACAATATTATATTAATTTCACGTGTACAGCATAGTGGTTAGACACTTATATAGTTTATGAAGTGATTCCCCCCCGATAGTCTAGTCCCCACCTGGCGCCACAGTTGTTACAATATTGACTCTGTTCCCTGTGCTGTACTTTATATCCCTGTGACTGTTTTGTGACTATCAGTTTATACTTCTTAATCCCGTCCCCTTTTTCACCTATCTCCCAACCCCTCTCCCATCAGGCAACCATCAGTTTGTTCTGTGTATCTATGAGTCTGTTTCTGTTTTGTTTGTTTATTTTGTTCTTTAGATTCCACATATAAGTGAGATTATATGGTATTTGTCTTTCTCTGTCTAACTTATTTCACTCAGCATAATATTCTCTAGGTCCATCCATGTTGTTGCAAATGGCAAGATTTTATTCTTTTTTATGGCTGTGTAATATTTCACTGTATATATGGACCACATCTTCTTTATCCAGTCGTCTGTTATTGGACACTTAGGTTGCTTCCATGTTTTGGTTATTGTAAATAATGCTGCAGTGAACAGAAGGATGCATATATTTTTTTAAATTAGTGTTTTGGATTTCTTCGGATAAGTACCCAG